TGATTACTCTCCTGCTTGATACTGGTTCCTGACTTCGGCTCTGCTCCTTACTTTGGCTTGCTTATGATTTGGTACTTTGCTGTCCGCCTGCTGATGACCCTGGCTATCCCTTTGACACTGCTCATATCTCCCTTCCCTGCTTCCTGCCTTGCTCTGGTGCACACCTGGTGATCTACCATACCAGCTCTGCATATCACTATTGATCCTGAATCGGAGGTTCATCAGTCTTCCAAAGTCTCCAACTACAAGAGCTGCAAACAACATCTGCTGGCGCTCTTGTCCCCCTGGTCCCTAGACATCCTCTGTTCCACTTCCAGTGGGGTCAGGACTAGTGACACAAGTGAGGCCGATCTCGTCATTTCTGTCTCCAATCAGGTACGTGACAAAATATTTTGGTTGTACATGCAGGAATTCAGGGGTGTGATACAATGGTATACAATATGTTTTAAATTGATTTTCTTTATATATGGCGGCAATGAAGATCTTATGAATAGAGTTACATATCAAAGGCCATTTGCCAAGGTTTAAAGGTTATGTGAACTCTAAAACAGCAGGAAATTCTACCAACCCGATCGGTTTAAAATAGAAATAGAAGGCAAAAAAATATACTGTATATATATATTTTTAAAATACCTTTTTTTTTTTTTTAAAAAGTGATGGCATAATCCCTGTTCTCAGCTGCATAAGAGGCCTGGAGAGGTGGGGATGGAAAACATCAGTACAGTGAATGGCTTGCAGGGGGGTGTATCAACAGAAATATGATCAGATTGAAGGACAGGCTGACTGTTCTCCCAGCACAGCTAAAAAACTGACCACACTGATATGGACATGTTCTCATGCATAGCGTGGTCAGCTTGAAACAGGAGAGCAGGGGGACTGGCAGGAACACCAGGTATTTCACAAAAAGGTAGCAATACAAAGATAACAGGATACTTTTTTAACACAAGTACATGACACAACAGATACATATCAAGAATATGAAAATGGTGTAACATATTTTTAAAGGATAAGTGTGTTTTTACATTAAGCGCATCTTACCTAAATTAACCTACCTTTCCCCACCCCAGATGTATACCTACAATGTGAATCCCACAGCTACAGACTCTCACAATATTGACATCTGCGTACTGAAACCTTCTTTCTGCTGGCCACATTTACATAATCAATTTATAGACTTTTGTGAAACCATCTTTCACGTTTCCCCCATTTGTGCATACTGTACTGTATACTTATTTAGGCTTGAAGATAAAATCATTGGGTAAAATGTTAATGATTAGGAAAATACTGTATCTGAGATTGTGCATTTACATAAGAGACCTTTTGAATCTAAGGTTCCAAACAGGGTTAGTTGTGAATAATGGTAGATGTGAAGAGATGTTTTAGTCCAGATTTTAAATATACACTATATTGCCAAAAGTATTGGGATGCCTACCTTTACACATGAACTTTAATAGCATCCCAGTCTTAGTCCATAGGCTTCAATATTGAGTTGGCCCACTCTTTGCAGCTATAACAGCTTCAACTCTTCTGGAAAGGCTGTCCACAAGGTCTAGGAGTGTGTCTCTGGGAATGTTTGACCATTCTTCTGTTCCCACAAAGTTGAGAACGTGAAATTGTCCAAAATGTCTTGGTATGCCGACACCTTAAGAGTTCCCTTCCCTGGAACTAAAGGGACAAGGCCAACCCCTGAAAAACAACCCCACACGATAATCTCCCCTCCACACCAAACTTTACACTTGCACAATGCAGTCAGGCAAGTACCGTTTTCCTGGCAACCACCTAACCTACACATGTCCATTGGATTACCAGACAGAGAAGCATGATTTGTAACACCAGAGAACACGTCTGCACTGCTCTAGAGTCCTTTGGTGGAATGCTTTACACCATTGCATCAGACGCTTTGCATTGCACTTAGTGGTGTAAGGCTTGGATGCAGCTGCTTGGCCATTGAAACTGATTCTATGAAGCACTCTATGCATGGTTGTTGTACTAATCTGAAGGCCACATGAAGTTTGGAGGTCTTTAGATATTGACTCTGCAGACAGTTGGCGACTTCAGCACACTGTGCACTTCAGCATGTGCTGACCCTTGTCCTTGACATGGACATCATGGGACATTTGAGGGGGAGGGGGGTCTGTGTTTTTAACAAAGAGTTGGTCAAAAACTTTGTGTCCTTATTTACTATTTACATTTTTTTTGTGAATGAGTAGAGATACTATGTACCCCTTACTCATTCATGTGGGGAAACCAGTATCTGGCGGGCTGATTCATGTGGGGGAATCAGTATCTGGAATCTGGAAGCCCCCTAAAGGGGGATTCCGGATTCCAATAAGCCACCACCTTTTTCTCATCAACAAGGTGAGAAGGTGTTTTGCCAGGGGAGATCCCCCCCCCCCCCCGGCAAGCTACCCTCTCCATGTTGAGGGCATGTGGAATGATATGGATCAGTAGTGCCTACCAGACTTTACAAAAGAGTCTGATATATAGTTTCAAGGTGACTTTTTTTGTGTGCGTAGGTTTTCCCATTAACATCTATACAAGACCCTCATCTAGGATAAGGGTCTGATATAGATGAAAGGAATCCCCAGCCGGGAATGAATGGAATGAAGCAGCAAGGAGTTGTCATGTACCAGTAGGTATAGTCTGCCTTGAGATGTGGATCCTCAAAAGGGTGACACAAAGTTAGAGAAATGGTTTAAATATTTTAATGAGAAGCAGGTATTAGTTTTCTCAGATTTTTGGTTGGAAGGAAAAAGAATACATTTTGTGGTGTTAAGATATTTGATAAAGAAATCAAAGAGCTCAAAGTTTAACTTTTGCCTTTTACTCTGCAAGAAGATGCAGAGTATGAATCTCTCTTCCCCAACTTAAGGAATTTTTTTTGGGAAAAAAATACCTACCGATCATTGGAGTATAAAGCCCTTCACAGGTTACAGCCGTTGTCATTTACCAGCAATTTAAATGGCAATTATTTCTTTACAAATGTTAGTTTTACTGTACTGTAGTAGATTTTAAATATCATACGAATGCATGTGAAAGCTGGAAATCACTATTAGTCTCTGCTACTGCATTGCTCCCTGGCAGGAGTGGACTGACAACTCAAGGGGCCCCCGGGCAATAGGGGATCATGGGGCCCCTGTGTCCTTGCCCACACTAAAAGCTCCAATGGTCAGTACGCCCCTGCTCCCTGCAGTTTTCCAGGTCCTATGCTGAGTAGCTGCCTTGCTTCATAGTAACCACAAGGCTTGCCATTCACAGAATGCCTTGCAATTGTCTCAATGAATGCAAGGCATTCTCTGATAGGATGAAATAGAGAGATGTGGTGTTGATGTAATTTTTTCCACCTGGTCCAATCAGAAAACTCCATACATTCACTGAGAAGTGAATGCAAGGAGTTCTGTGAATGGCGGTAGTGCTGAATGACCCCCTGTGTTAATGGTACCTGAAAGATGACAGAGATCACTGTAGCAGCAGAAACTATTACAGTGATTTTCATTTTCCACAGGGATCCCACAAGGATGGTGTATGCATGCCTACATTAGCCCAATGTAAATATTCTATATGAGTGCTATTTGCAAAGTAAAGGAGAGAAAACCAAGTGTTTTAAAAGGCATTAGCAAGAAGTGCAGAAAAGAAGAGGAAACACTTGACAGTCACCAAACAGTCAATATATCTCAGATATGATGCACATTTATTTTGTTTTTAACTCCAATCTACAGTTGCGGCCAAAAACATTGGCACTCCTGCATTTGTGTTACATAATGCACCACTTTGCCCAGAAAATTGTTGCAATTACAAATGTTTAGGGATTCTCATGGTTATTTTGTTTGTTTATATTTATATCTAAATATGTTTGTTTATAATATATATATATATATATATATATATATATATATATATATATATATATATACACAAGAAGCCATATCTGACACATTCCACACAAAACCCCAAAAATGGACTGGACAAAATTATTGGCACCTTCTCAAAATTGTGAGAATTAATTGCATATCAGGTTTGTGATGTTCCTGGAATTTGTAATTATACTTTGACCGAGTACACAGCAGATCACAATAAGGGAGAAAGAGAGAGGAGGAGAGATACTGGAGTCTGTGACACCTCTCTTCCATCTAGGATCACGCTCTGGGGTCTAACTGTAATTTGGGGTCTAACTATTCGGTAAGGAGCTGTGTGTTTTTTGTGGTGGTGGGCTTGAGATTCTCTATTTCACTACACACATGGAGGATTATTGTGGATGCAGCTGTTCATCATAATCGGGATTTTAACATCAAAAGACTTTCATTGTTTGGTGTTTCATGCATTTTGACTTTATTAGTAGGAGCACATTTAAAGTATAAGTGACTCACTATTAGTATATTTTTTTATCAACAGCACAACAACAGCTGGATATCACTTACTGAGTATTTGCATTGGTATTTTTTGAGTGCAGCTATTGTTTCACTGTTTGTTTTATGGTTCAGAATTTGTTTGGATTTCTTTGGCACTCAACGCAGTTGCATATTTTTCACAAAGAAGATTTTACCAGCAGGATGTAGCCAATGAAGAAAGTCATGGTAGCAGAATGAAGGCAATTATGCAACTGAGCAGGTGAACAATGGGATACACTAAGTCCGGAGGGGCAAAGAACATAAGTTTACTTTTGTATGAAAATGCACATACAATATCACTTTAAGCTAAATTCAGGGTAAGGATATTTTTGCAAAATTATTTAGTCCAGTGTTGCCTGAATCGTAAAGGTAAAGATCATGATGTCACCTCCCCACCTCATCCAATCAGAGAGCGCTTTACACGAGAACATGCAAATTATAAGCTGAATAGCACATGTGCACATGCTGGACCTGGAAGCTAGTGGAGATCAGTGCCTAGTAGTAGTGCCCAGGGGCGGACTGACAACTCATGGGGCCCCCGGGCAATAGGGGATCATGGGGCCCCTGTGTCATTGCCCACACTCAAAGCACACCCAAAAAAGCCTATAAAAGGTACCAGGGGCATTTCATGGGGCCCCCTACTGACCCCGGGCCCTCGGGCAGTGCCCGAGTGCTCGAATGGTCAGTCCGCCCCTGGTAGTGCCTGTAATCACAGGATTAGGCTGGGTATGGAACAGGCATATTTATATTAGTCCAAGCTGGACCAATATAACTGCAAAATATCCATACCCGAAATTCAACCTATATCTATCTAGATGTTAACCTCTTCCTGTTTAGCCTCTAAAGCATTGCACCACCGATCAACAGATCGCTGGTGCCATGCATATCTTACCCTGACCTGTCAGTATACTTGCTTGCTTATACAGCCTGCATGGGCAAGCAGATACTTACTGATAGGAAGGCTCAATTAATTACCATGGCTCTGTGGTAGTTCATTGAAAAATAAAGGCTGCCGGTACTTGTCATTTTCCCATTCACAGAATACTGTTTACAATTTTTTAAATTGTGACAGCTAGTATGAAGGAGAAGATTTCCCGCTAGCCGTCACAATTGGGATCGAGAGGGTGCAGTGGCCAGTCCAATAGTAACATGTTACATGTTACACCCTGAATATGGGTGTAACATGTACCATGTAATGAAAGGTGAACTTAAAACAAAAAATTCCAGTACGTAGCTCTGCAAGATGGACGCTTAAGCCAAGAGCTCCATCCCAGGCCGGCCGATGATACCCAGCCACAGCGCCCACAGCCCTTGTTCCGAGTCTCTCCAGTGGGTCTGGTAATTGGGAGAGAGCACAAATCGGGACTAAGGGAGATGGAGTGGAGAACGCAATCCCCCTATCAGTCAGCGGGCTCACTTCGGGACGAGACTTCCAAGATGGTGCTAGGACCTGTTACACATGCAGTCTGTCTCCTCACTTGCTAGGTGAGGAAGGAGGAGGCCTGATGGAGATTCCAGACACCCAGAGCACTCATGTAAGTACCCCTTCCTCACTTAGAGATTCACTAGCTTCTATGGAGTCCCTCTTTGATCATGCTATGGACAATCTGGCTCTCTCTCAGTGCAGGCCTTCCAGCCCTACCCAGCCTGACCCAGCTGCGGGTTCTGACACCCCCTACAGCATGGATATGACCAGCATGTTCTTCAGATTTTCTGACCTGCTGGACAAAGGTCTGACTAAGATAGCCTCGCAGATTACTACAGATATTAAGGTGGACTTGCAGGGCCTAGGCTCCCACATTGATACCATTGAAACTAAGATGGACTAGCCAGAATAAACAAGAACACAGCACGCATCCAAGACCTCCAGGATCAACTAGAGACTGCCTTTGTCAAAACTGATGATTTGGAGAACCGATCCAGGAGCTATAATTTCAGAATCAGGGGCTCTCCCTGAAACTGTGAAAGACACTCTTGCAGTAGTCCAAGGATTCCTGAAAGGCCTCCCACGACCTCTGACCACAAGCTGGAGGTGGATATGGCACATCAGACTTTACAACCACCTCGGGCAGATGGGTCACCAAGGGATATTATTGTGAAACCACATTTCTATACAGCCAAGGAAGCTGTGATGAGATGCGTTTGAGATACTTCTTCCTTACAAATCCAGGGACATGAGATCCAGATCTTTGCTAATCTTTCACCATATACTATTTAGTGATGGCGAGCCCTTAGACCCTTGCTGCAGGTCCTCATAAGAAATGACATTAAATATCACTGGTCCTTCCCTTTTCATTTAGCTTTTTCTTTCATAGCTTCTCATTGTTCCAGGAGGGGAATGTCTCCTATTGCAGCTGGGTCTTGTTGCTCGGGAACCCCCTGCTTCTTCTCCGGCTCCAAATACCCCAGGGCTATCTAAACGCAGTCTACCACCACATCCGATTTCACCATTGTGGCAATGATCCAAATCTAGAAGATCCAGGGACTCTAGCCCCCCCATGAATATCTCCAAATTCCTCCCTTGGTTACCTGTTTCTCTTGGTTTTCTAGTTGGGTTGAGAAACTAGTTATGCTAGGGGTGTCTGTGGGACTCATTTTGCCGTTAACATTTTTCATATGTTAACTTTTAAGTTTATGACCAAGCATTCAGATGTGAGGATGTAGATGAGGCCTCCTTGGCTCAGGGATTCCCGACTGACTTGGGGCGTCCCAGGGGTTTGGAAGTTTAGGAGAGTGCTCTTCTCGGGGTCTCCTGGGGCCAGCCTGTTATGGTGGCAGCGGGGGCCTGGGGGGGGTGAACTAAACTTATTTTTTTATCCTACTGGTATAATGTTCTTTGGGAATAGCTGTATCTATTATAGTGGCTGGTGGGCCAGTCTGGGGTGGCACGCTACCCCGCCTGTTCCATTGTGCCTTATGTGACACTGTGGCGCAGGCAGTGGTCCCTAGTTGGTGGACCGTGCCTTCTTGGGATTCAGATGGTGGGGGTTAGGCAGGTCCTCCCCTACTTGCCATAGAATGTCTGTTTGTATTTCTTTATAATTTTTGTACTTTCTTCTCGCACTGTTTCTTCTTCTCTTCCTTTTGTCCAGAGACAAGGAACCTGCCCCCCCATGGATCTCTCCTATTGCTCGAGACCCATACTGGTCTTATGTTCAACGATTGTCAAGTAAGGGAGTGGTAAGTGGTGGTCAATTGACTGAGTGTGTCCTTTTCTGGGCCAGTTATTAGGTGTCCTCCTAATAATTCAAAATTGACAATTTGCTCCCATAACAGTGAAATGGCGGAAAATTCTTCAGTACTACCATTCACTGCATGCTGATGTGGTTTTCCTCCAGGAAACCCATTTTCCTAGCACCTATAATCCCACATGCTAAATTTCCAAATATTTTCCTTGCAAATGCTGCAGATAAGTCTAAGGGAGTCACCATCCTTTTTGCACAGTGGATGCCTTTTTCACCCCTTATGGAATTTAAGGACCCTAATGGACGTTACCTGTTTTTGAAGGGGACCATTGATGGCCACCTGTGTTCATTGGTGACCTATTATGCCCCTAATGCCCGGTCAACCAGCCTTCTTTTCATTACGTACCCTTTCCCCTCATTTGGAAGGTACAGTGGTTCTAGGGGGCGACTCCAATATTACTCTAGATCTTAGCTTAGACAAATCCAGAATGCTGGTAGCGCAACTATGGAGGCCACCTAAACAGAGTGTAGCTATTGATAAAATGATTAATTCTTTGGGACTGGTGGACATCTAGAGGGAAACCCACCCCACTGGTAGAGATTACATGCATTACTCGGCCCCACATGCTACTTACACATGCATTGATCACATATTTGTGTCAAGTATGAGCGTTCCGGGGGTGCTTAGGGTCCATATTCGAGAAACATTGTTGTCTGATCACTCTATGGTCTGTGTGGTTTTCTCACAGCCTCAGGGGAAGCAGGGTACTTTTCTTTGGTGACTGAATGAGTCGCTTCTAAGTGACCCAATCATATGTAAGGAAATAGACACCGCTTTGGGTGAATATTTTAAATATAATGACACAGTTGACGTTTCCCCAGCTACTCTGTGGGCAGCCCATAAAGCTACTGTTAGGGGAAAGATAATACAAATCTCCTCTCGGATTAAGTGGGAGAGCCAGATAAATATAGAGAAATTAGAGGCTGGATTTCAATCACTTAGCAAACTCCATAAATGTAATCCTAATAAGGACACACTCGCTAAACTGGAATCGACTAGGCAAGCCTTGAATTTAGCGTTGACAATTAGGGCTGAGAAAGATTTGAGGTGGACCAACGCATGGTTTACTGCCAATGGGATAGAATTGGCTCGATGTTGGCCCATAAGCTGACACCTAAAACTCGGTCTCATACACTGCCAAAAATTTGATCTGCTCTAGGGAGATATACCCAAAATTCACAAAAGATAATAGAGGAGTTTCAGTATTTTTACTCCAAGTTATATCGGTTGGGATCCTCAGTCTCCAGGGAGGAGGTTGATGCCTTTATGCAGGACTTACCTTTACCCATTTAACAATGGCCCACAGGGCTAAGCTGGAGGCCCTTATTTCTGGGGAGGAGGTTGTCAGGGCAATTAAATATGCCAAGAGGGGCTCTGCCCTAGGCGCAGATGGCTTTTTTGTCACTATATTATAAAAAATTTTGCTCCCATCCTCCCCGCATTTTGCTTGTTTCTTCAATTCCATATGGGATGGAGAATCCCTGGACCCCTCTCTGAACACAGCCTATATTACTGTGGTCCCCAAACCAGCTAAGGATCCTGATGATGTAGTAACTATAGACCTATCTTGCTAATCAATAATGATTTGAAACTCCTTACCAAAATCTTAGCTAATCGTCTATCTTCGTTCATACATGGGAATCAGGTCGGGTTCATACCGGGTAGACAGGGACCAGACCAGACCCGTAGATTGATTGACCTGGTATCCCTGCTACAATCCCAATGGGATAGTTGCCCCCCCAGAAGGATTTATGTTATCTATAGATTTACAGAAAGTCTTTGACACAGTGTCTTGGCCCGATCTTTTCCGGATTTTGGATGTATGGGGGTTCGGTCCCCGTTTCTTAAATATATTACAGGCTCTTTATTCTTCCCAGTTGGCACAGGTTCACTTACAGGGACAGTATTCTCAGTCAATCAGGATTGCTCGGGGTACATGGCAAGGGTGCCCCTTATCTCCCTTAATTTTTGGCTATAGCTATTGAAACCCTCACGGTGCCAATTCAAACGCTGTGGCCCGCAGGAACACAAGTGTGCTCTATTTGTGGATGACCTGCTGATGTTTCTTACTTCTTCTCTGACCTCCACCCCTAAGGTAATACACTTATTACGAGAGTTTGGCAGGGTGTCAATTTTGGAGGTTAATATGACCAAGTCATTGGCTCTGAATGTCTCTGTCTCGCCAGGATTGCTCACTCAACTCTGGGATTCCTTTCCCTTTGAGTGGAGTGATTCTCATATTCCATATCTGGGTGTACAGCTGATGGCCAATATGGAATCTCTGTATGGATCCAATTATCCATCACTTTTTCATAAACTCGAGGCAGATCTCCAGCAGTGGTCGGCGCATCCTCTCTCCTGGCTGGGCAGACTGTATACCGTTAAAATTACCTTGCTCCCACGACTTCTATATTACTCCTGGTCTCTCCCCATCCCTATTGCACATGTAGTATTGAAGAAATTCCAATCTTCAGTAATTAGATTTATTTGGGGCAATAGGGGCTTTGCTAAAAAGATTCTTTTTAGTCCTAAGACCAGGGATGGGCTAGGACTCGCAGACTTTTATAGGTATTAT